AAACTAAGTCATCCTGGTGCTGGCAGCCGGTAGTGGTGGTGGTGTGGTGCAGATGGGTGTCTACAAGGTCCTCAGGAGTCTAATGGCCATGAACTGTTGGCTTGGAAGGTGTTTTTCAGAAGTGGCCAGTGTGTTTGAAGGTGTTTTTGAGAAGCGGCTGCTCCTTCCTTCAAGATAGGCAGCAGCTACACCAACAGTTTGTTTGCATGTGCTTGTATAGATGGACATGGTCTCTGTGTTAGTACGCATGCTTCTGCTTTTTCCATGCAAGATTCTTAATTAATTTGATCCTGTTGATGTGCATATGTGTTCCACTTCCACCTCCTCTATGTGTCTAGTTGAAAGGAACAGTGATTTAAGTACGCCTTGCATTACAGGAACATTTGCTGGGTAATGCTCACGTCACTGCTATTAATACTCTGATGTTGATTTTTCCATTGTACACTCTTACTCCGTAGTGAGAGAGGGAAGCATATTCACGCGAGTAATTGGATAGCAAGGGATTGAGAAAGCCCTTCCAGTTTAAATATGTGGAGACTGGGGGAGAAAAACCCTCCAAGTGAGTTAGTTTTAACTACAAAATGACTGGCCATACCTTCCACTTGGATTCTGTTATCAGGGTATTTTTTAATACAGGAGGATTTTTTTTATTTAAAGGAGGAAGTTTGGTGGGTAGATCCTAACCAGATACACTATGAGAAGCCTTGATTAGATGCATTTTTCATGTAATAAAACAAATAAAAATGCCAATTAAAGACACAACACCATTATCATGAACAATGAGGCAATTTCTCCTGCAGTATTTTAAGTGCATAGCTGTAACTTCAGAAGAATTTTCTCCAACAACACGCATGTATTTGGGTCTGTTTGGGATTACTTTGTTTACCATCCTGTAAGATCAATTCTAAACGTTTGCGCTGAAGTCTGATTAATTTATTTTCTAGCCCATAGAACAATTTGGAGGATCTAAGCCCGTAGGCAGCTTTTCTGCCGAGAGGGCGAGTGCACACGTGTCTGCGTGTCTCTTGGGGAAGAGGAGACTCGCTGAATCTGTGCTTTCAGAGTAGGCCACCCGCTTTACTGCTCGACTCTGCTGTATAAATGCCTATGAGCAAGTTGTCTTGAGCAGAATAAACCGCTCCGTTCGCCACCACTTGCAAAGTCCAGGGCTTGCAAAGAGCCCACTACTCGTGTCCCTGTACTCGCAGTTTTGCAGCTGAGGCACAGACACACTAACCAGCATTTACGCTGAGTTCTGTCCTGCAACAGACACTTAACCCAAATCTCCTAATCTGAGGGCTATGGCATTGTTCCTTCTGAGGTGCCACTGTTTTGGCCTTAGGATAGAAGATTTTGCAAAAAAAAAAAGCAACATTTCTTGGGGAGAAAAAATGTTGGAGAAAGCTGTGTTTTGTTTCAGATTTTGCTATGAGCTGCCTTGCTTGCAGAGTGGATTATCATGAACGATTAAGCAAATAATGTGTTAAACATATCACAAGGGAATGGGAAAAAAAAAAAAAAAGTTTTTGTCAGTAGCCTGACATCTTTGAGGAGGATTTGGTTGGTTTTTTTTTAAAGTCAGCCCTGCGCTTACCACATGCAGTCAATACAGACTCGTACTTGGCTGCCAATAGATCAGGTTCAAGCTGTAGACTTGTTGCTGATCTTTTTGTTTTACTGTTTTCTCTTTTAACCGTGACAGCTTCGCTGTTTGCATGGAAGCCCTCAAGTTGTCAGGAGTAGCCCTGTTAATGGTTTTGAGTTTGTTTAATTTCACATCTCGGCAAGCCCTGAAAGCTGTCAAGACTTATCATCTTATCACTCTGCTTCTGACTGTTTGGCACAAACAAGGGCTGGGGGTGGGGATGGGGTAGGGAGAGAAAAAGTGGAGGAAAGGGAGCATCATAAATAACTAAGTAAAATTATCTGTAACTTAACAGCTCCTTAAATACTGAGACAAAGAAATCAAAACAGACGGGCAGCACAGAACCAACTACAACTGTTTTCTCTTTCCTCTGATCCAGAATAAATAAAAGTGATCCCTCTGATCCCTGGATTGTAGGCTGGGAATTATGCTGCTATTCAGTTCAGAAAGGGGCAGGTGGGAGTGAGCTTTTTGAATGTTTGGGAACAGAAAATATTCTGCTATCGTTGGAAAGGCTCTTGTGGCTGTCTTGGTGGGCCTTCGTTTCCTTAAGCATTTCCTTAACCAGGTGCTTGAGTGTTGTTATGATCATTGGATGGAGACTTACAGTTGTGCTTCACTCCTTGGTGGAAAGGGGGCTTTAAAGAGCAGTTTAGACTAGAGTTAAGGGCAGCCTCTGTTTCCCAGGGCCTGCTGTGATGGCTTAGTGACTTTATTCAAGGACCGTGAGGGTATGTTCTGGTGTGAGAAAAGGAAAAGGGCTGAACTGAGGTGGAGCAGCCCTCAGTAGTGTGTGCTGGCGTTTCCTAAGCAGCGCTTCGTGAAATCCAGTTTGAGCCAGATGGTTTAATGCTCGAAGGATCCCTTTGTGCATTTCAGGTTAATCAACCTAAGGAAGAGCTGTGCATTATCTCTTCAAAAATAGGAAGATAATGAGCTGCTGGAGAGCCTGATGTATATTAGAGTATCTCTGAATCAAGGGCAATGCAGTGAGATACTCCTGCTGACCGACTGACCTGCAAGATTCAGTCCTGATCTAAACGGGTACAGCCACAGTGGCAGCATGAGTCATCTCCTGGTTTTGTGATGTTTTGTGCCCCTGGTGAATACCCAGTTACTGCAGATGAGAATGACTTTGCAGGGAGAAGATGCTGGAATCAAATGTCCTAAGGGCAATGATGTCTCCAGCATTATGCATTGTACATCATAAAGAATTCAGTGGGCAACAGAAGCCTGGCCTTTCCCAAACACAGCAGCGTCCTCAGCAAGACCCACCTCCCGTAATGCAGGTGGTAGTTGTAGGTGTCAGTATGGCTCGAAGCGGTGTAGCGACACGGAGGGCGCGAAAGGTGATGAAATCAGCTGCCTCTTGTTGGTGCTGTTGAATTGCTTCAGAACAAAGTACCGAAAATCATAGCTAAATGTATTGCAAGGTGCTGCCTCCACTGCTGCTGGGCATCTGCCTTCGTTAGGCTTAATTGGGCCATTTGTGCGGCCTCACTGTGCCTGCGGCTCCGAGGCTGATTTTGAGGCAGAACTTCCACCAGGTTGCAGAGGCAGAAGCACGGTTGTGCTTTCCATCTCATTCCTCGACCAGTTTAGTGCTATTCCTGACTGTATTTCAGCGCTCTGACCAGTTCTGTTTTAACTTGAGTGTCTGCCACCTCTCCCTTGATGCTGTTCTGTAGTCCAGTAGAGCTTCAGAGTTTTATTCCAATTTTTAGAGAATTTATTCCTAATTTTTTCCCCATTTTTTTCCTTGGGCCATGTTGATAGCTTTTGTTTATATCCCCTCAGTTACCCTAAATGCTTTGCTACGAGTTATCATCTTTAACTATTCTTCCCCTCTCCTTTCCCCTGGTTCTCACTCTTCCAGAGGGTACTTTGTGAAAGGGTGAGTATGGTGATACGGGATGCCTGTGTATGAAGAGGCTGCTGAATGAGGTGATTGGAGTCCCTGTGGCTTGGAGTCTGCCATCTCTCAGTGCAGATATGCAGGTTTGAGGCAGCTGAGGTACATCACAGTGAGGTGTAGTTTGGCTCCTTATTTTTGACCAAAATAGACCGGTTTGCAACTGCGGGGAGGAGTCCTGCCTTGGGACACAGCCGCCTTTATTGTCCCTTGTTGAGGGGGAATTCAGTGGCGTGCAGAGGCAACCTGAGCAATTAGTATAAGAAATTGCTTTGGCTTTTGTGTTTCTCTTCTGTGTTTCATTTCTGAGGATTAGCTCTGGCCCAGGATTACCTCTTCTTTTCCTTCCCTGGTTCATGAGCTGCCTTATGTTCATCCACTTCATGCGGACATTTAATTGATATGCTCCTATGTCTGGCTTACTACTCTATGAATACAATTTCTTCCCTAGCCTTTAATTGATTTGGATAATAAAGTGCAATTATAAAACTCAATAAAAATTGGTTATTTTGAAGGGAGAGCAGGAAAGAAAGAAACCTTAGTGATGCTCTGCTGTGTGACTGTATAATAATGCAAAATCCCCTTTGGTTTAATTCTATTTAATTGCTCAGCTTTACTCAGATTGTTACAATTCTGCAGGCTTTCTTGCTATTATAAGCAGCATGCTTATAAATGTTTGCATTTTTTAAAAGTTCCTTGTGTATATAATAATTGTAAATTTTATGTTTGTCTGGTGGCTGCTGCCTGCTCTGGCAACCTCCCTTCTCCTTGCACACATGCCTGGGGAGCCTGTGCTACTGTTCCCCTCTCAAACGCTCCCTAAACCAGCCAGGTCCTCTTCTGAGGAGTGAATTACCAAACCAGTGGCCACCTTAGGAGTAAACAGCTGTTTGGGTCTTTTTAACATTACAGGAGGATTCCCCCTCCTTCTTTGGTCTCTTCACACTTTAAAATGCTCCCTGGCTTCCAAAGGAGGCTAGGCCCTTGACTGGAACTAACCAAGAAGAGGTGTGAAGTGTCCTACCAGGGGGTGCTCTGGCAGGATTTGTTTATGGTGTGTGCCAGGGATGGGAGATGGTGCATTGGGATGGGAGGAATAGGGAATTGGAAGTGCTTCACCCATTCTGGGCAGCTCTCTGAGGTACCTGAATAGGATATGGATTTTTTCAATCCTTTACTCGATGTCTGCTTTTCCACTGGAGATGAAGAGACCTGATATTTGAAGTTGTGTATTGGATTTAGGAAATCTGGGTCTTTTTTTTCAGTGTTGCATGTTACTGATGAGTTCCTCCTTTATAATTTTTTTTTCTTTCTCCATTGTCTTGTTTTCTCTACTGAAAGGGCCATAGGGAGAGATCATTTCATATCAGGTGTAACTTCTGGTTTATGTGTTCTGCCGCTGCCGTATTGATATGGATTAACATCTGGGGTTGCTTGGATAAGATAACTGAGTTTCTTTATTTCTCTTTATTTTCCCAGTTGGGAGGCTGTGGAATCCTTGGAGTAGGCATCTGGCTGGCTGTCACCCAAGGGAACTTTGCCACCCTCTCCTCTTCTTTCCCGTCCCTGTCAGCTGCCAACCTGCTGATCGTCACAGGGACATTTGTCATGATCATTGGCTTCGTGGGCTGCATAGGTGCCATCAAAGAAAACAAGTGCCTCCTGCTGAGTGTGAGTATCAAGCCGCTATGCCATTGCAGTGCTTGTTGTCTTTACAGTGCTGGTGCTGTTCCAATGCATGTTACAGTGTCAACAGAAGTTGTCCACTTGACATGGATGAGATGTGAATCAGGTTTGAAGCAGTCTTTGGTAGCTCCAAGTTGCTGCTAGATCATTCCTGACCATGCTTTTAACCTGTCCTTGGAAGGTGAGATCTGTGAGCAGGGAACAATTAGTTCCTGTAGTTTGAGTTTCCTTGAACTCTTCAGAGAAGAGGGAGAGATTTGCGAAGACGTGTTTTGCAGTGTGTCCGTGAATCATTTTTTACTCGGCTTTGGTAGCTATCTACTACAAATGTCTGCCCTGGCAGGACTGATAATCTGAAGTCCTGAGCAGAAAGATCAATGTAGGCAGGAAACATTGTGAAGAGGTTGATTTTGGTTCAAACTAGAAATTAAGTCCTTCACATTTGGCACTGCTGGTGCTGACAATCATTAACTCTCAAAAGGCTGAGATGTCGGGAAGCAAAGGTGCCAGCACAAGGAGACTGCTGTGAAATCAAAGACTAATAAGGTGCCAGCTGTCTGTGATTTAACAGAGGTTTGGGCCACATCCTCAGTGTATTTCATCAAAATGTAATTTGATGCTACTGAAAGCTGGACTTTACGAGTAGTAAGTGCCTGCTGTAGTTGGTGTTAGTGTATACTCTGGGTCCTATTCAGCTGAAGACCAGGAATTGAAGTGATTTTGCTGATCAAATCCAGGACTTCACCGTGAGGTTTGGCAAACCTCAGAGTGAAGTGAAGCTGGGGTTTAGTTTGGCGAGCTGGTGATTCCTTTGTAAAAGGCTGTTCCTCGCTGTGCTTCACATACTTATTTTGCTCCCCTGAGAACCACAGAATGAGTCGAGGCACACAGCCCCCAAGAAAATTCGCCTGTAAAAATCTCTAAGTGACTGTGAGATTCCAAGCCTCGATAGAGGACTCTTTCCAGACCCTTGCCTTAATCAGTTGTTTCTGCTGATTTCTAACCATTAAAAGTCAGGACTAGTCAGTATATGCTAGTAAGGGCTATTTATGTGACAGGTAGGTGGTTTGAAACTAAAATGAACAACATAAATTGCTATTAAGGCAATTTTGTGAGTGGAAATTTTGTGAGTGGAAATTTACACTGTGAAGGCTGAAGTCAAAATCTGAGGCTGAAAGTCCTTGACAGTTTTGGCAGTCTTACAAATACCCACTTGGTAGAGGAAGTATCTGGCCAGCCGGATGTGATTACTAGATTACAGCTTCAGTGCCAACGTGGCAGGAGTCCACAGGGTGCTGAGTCTAATGGTATAACTTACATGTGCAAAATTAATCACCCGTTTTGTGCTCTTTTTGATTAAAGTCCTAGCTCAGGTGTGAACAGCAACAAGCGTCGTCGTCTTATGTGTCAGGATCAGGTCAGGATCTGGCAGTCAGTCCTTGGTACTGCAAGTGTTTCAGCCTTTGATCTCTGTGGCTGTTGGCCCTCATCACTCCTTTTGGCAAGGGCAAAGTCTCCCTTGATCAGCTGTCACTGCTGCAGCTGGGGTGAATGTACTCAGACAACCCCTAGCTAGACATCCTTTTAGGGAGATGCAAATGTTTGTGAGTGCTACTCCTCCTAACACACGCTGCACGGTGCTCGGGGTCTGATGCCTTCAGTGGTGCTGTAAGGACTAATGTAAGGCCCTTCAGTGCGTGAGGTAGGGTCTGTACGTGATGGACCAAGTGAAGTAATGCAAAGGAAACCATATTCATTTAGGAGCTCTTTGCATGGGAGAATTGGGAAGCTTGGTCTGATTTGGTACCAGCATTTCACTCTGCCTGTCCTTACCTTCATGTACCATAGCTATTCAGCATGATCTCTGAAAAATTGAAAATTTTACTCAATTTTCTTCAAAATTGAGTTATGTTAGAGCTGATTACAGCTACTTTAATTGTGAATAAGCCCAACTATAGTGGGTTGAAATACAGTTTCATTAGTCTATGTTGAATTCACTTCTTGTTTAGTCTAGAGTAACTTTCCACGATGTGCATAGGTACTTACCCTCTTTTTTGAGATTTTTGAGCTCTTGTGAATTCTTCTGTTGAGTCTGTCTGTTTGGAAAGGAAGTGGATGGTGGTAGGAGCATCTGTTTCTGGGAGCAAAGCCTTATAATGTAGGTTTGTTCTTAATCTTCCTTTCCACAGGTTGCTGGTTCTGTTTGACTAGTGTTTGAAATAGTGCTTTTAAGTGCAGGGCCAGGGCATTTGGTTTTTGCCAGCTCCTGTTTTTCTAGGTAATGTAGGTAGCAAAATAAAAGCTTGAATAAAAGAACTTGCTGAATGTCAAAGCAAGCTGTTCTGTGGTTGCTACATCTCTTCATCCCTTTTTGAATTTCACAGGTGTTCCCAAAACTGTGTTCTGCCAAAATGAAAATAATCTCTTCCCAAAAATTCCCTGCTTTTTGTTAAACGTCCCTTAGAATGCCCCTTCTCTACTGCTTTTTAAGAGGACTGTTTTGTTGCAGGTGGGATGTGATAGGATTTACCATCTAAAGGGAAACGGAAAGCTACTAAGCACTGACAGCATTGTGTTACATGACACACACTGTTTAACAGTCACTGCACAACTGAGTCCTTACACTCCTTTCTGTATCTCCCAGGCCACCACTTAACATCTTGACTTTGTTTCTGGTAGTAGCTAAGATTGCTTTTTGAACTGAATTCCTGTAATTTATGTCTCCAGAAGAGACTACCACAAATGTGACAGCAACTTATGGAATAAGCTGTCTTGCTCATATGTGTTGTCATTACCATATCTTCTTGTTCAGCCTGGGAAAGAGAAGGCTCCGGGGAGACCTTATAGTGGCCTCCCAGTACTTGCAGGGGCCTACAAGAAGGCTGGGGAGGGCCTGCAGTGACAGGACGAGGGGTAGTGGTGGGAAGCTGGGAGAGGGCAGGTTTAGGCTAGATCCAAGGAAGAAGTTCTTCACCCTGAGGGTGGTGAGACACTGGCACAGGTTGCCTAAGGAACCTGTGGCTGCTCCATCCCTGGCAGTGCTCAAGGCCAGACTGGATGGAGCCTTCAGCAACCTGGTCTGGTGGGAGGTGTCCCTGCCATGGCAGGGGGTTGGAACTACATGATCTTTGAGGTCCCTTCCAGCCCAAACCATTCTGTGATTCTTGTGCAGCATGTGGTTTAGATGACTTTCTGGATTTTTTTCTTCTTCTTGGAAATAGGAGCTGTGATAGTACAGACAGACAAACTGGAGTCTGGCTGCACAGGTGTTTGAAGATGGGCTGATGGAGGCTATTTGATTATATGGTAGTATATTCTGTTGCACTATTTGCTGGACAGTGTATTTGATTCTCTTAATTTGCTCTCTCCTCCTGGTATTTGGCCAGCCCCAGTGCTAGACCAATAAAGAGGCAAGTGCTAAACAAACTTAGGGAACTGGGATGGACAGGAGTTAGACAAGGTCTGCAGGTAGTTGAAACAGGTTTGTGATGTGCTTAAAAGCAATGAAAAGCTATTGATGGAGTGCTAAAATCCGTTTTGCAAGAAGTGAAGCCTGGGATGTTGTGTCCCGTGCCTGTGTCAGTAATGTGTATGCAATAGTCTGATGAAGCGAGGCTTGGAGTGGACAAAAAGAAAAGGAAGTGAAATAAATCAAGCTGGAGGAGTACCCAGGGATGCTGTTGTGGTGGAATGGCAGATACTCGAGTTATAACCTACATATATGAGATCAAACACTGCTCCACTGAGACGAGCATCGCTGTGTATCTCTGAGTGAGTAGCAGGTTTCACTAACCTCCCGCTTTCCTCTGCTCGGTGCAGTGTGAGAGAAAGTCTGGGATGTTAAGTATCACCATAGACAGTAACAAAGGCAATATGAATGTTATCTGGTTCTCCAGATGCTTTTCCTGTACTGGATTTACCTTGTCTCCTGCTCTGAAATCATGCCCTTGAAGACGCTTAAGGCATTATAAGTGTACAGACCGCATGGATGTGCCTGGTTTAACCAATAACAACGTGGACCTCCGCTTGCTGTTACCTCCTGTAGTGCGCCCTGTCCTAATGATAGGTTGGTGGTAGCCTTTAGACTGGCAAGGACTGGAAAGACAAATTTCCCATGCAACATGAGCACCTCCTGTTTTGTTTCCTAAAAGCAGAAGAAAGAGGAAAGAATGTGGCAGTTGCACGTTGGGGAAGGATGTTGTTGGGAGGGTGTGCTGCTGTTATTGGGGTGGGTGGTTTGCAGGAGACATCAGAGATACTGCAGGAGACATGGAGCACTACTGAGATCCTAAAATGTACTGGGAGGGAGCAGGGCGTGAAGAACTGCTAGCTCAACCCACCTGTGTTGGAGGAGCAGCATTTTATGTGGTGTTAGACTCAGCAGAGTGTTTGTGTACGATCTTGCCGTATGAGTAGTGCTGCTGTTTGATGATGGGATAAGGGATGAGGTTTCCTAAGAGGTCTGCTTGAGTGAGTGAGAAATGAGCAGTATCAAAGAGACATTTCAACCTATTTAGATTTACGCTGGGCTGCAGAGCAGATGAGACTCTGATCCTGTATCTTTGTGTTCTCCACAGATGACATTTGTATTGGGTTGTCAGAGGAAACCTGTAAGCTCTTTGGTATTAGGCTGCTGTGATGTTAGGTGCAAATGATAATAATTGCTTACCTCTGGCATTTGCCAACGACTTTTGAAAGAAAGGACAGACAAAGTGTTTTAAGCAGCAGAGGACAGATGGAGAAAGGAGATCAAAAACATAAGTAAAGTTTAATTTGTAAATGAGATTTTTGCATAGCTGTGTGCGTAGTCAGGAATGATCCACGTTAACTCTCTGAATAGAGTGTTTAGGTAGCTGAGAGCTTCACAGTTTTACTGACTTGAAAGGACTTACCTGGTGGCCACCAACTAAGGAGCTGGCAGCGTATAGCCAGGACAATGCCTCAGTAATCTCTTAAGAAACAGGCCCGTGCCTATTTCTCTGCAT